TGCCTTGTGACAGGGGACCCCAGGCCCAAAAGGGCAGAAATCCTGGTAAACACAGGAATGCAGTGCCCACAGCACATGGCGAGTGGGAGACCCACTCTTGAGGCTTGAGCGGCAGCTTCGTCTCCTTCTGAATCACCAGGGAACAGATGGAGTCCCAGGTTAAAATACACAGCACAGATTCATAATCGCAAGAGAGGGGGCTTGGCAGCCAGCTCAGCAGAAGAAACTACAGACTAAGAGTCAGAGGTTTTCAACTGGCTATTTACCCTTCTCAGTGTTTGCACTTCTTCAGCTGTAAAACGCAGGTGTGTGAGCACTTGATCTCCACGCTCTTGTCATCTAATCCATATGGATCCCCATTTTAACAGTTACCAACTGCGGCCTAATCACAAGTCCCAGAAGCACGATCCACACATCTAAAATTATTTTATTGAGACTGGAGCGATGTACAATGAAGTACTCATCACAGCACATTGGAAAGACTCAAGTTTTACAAATTTCACATTCACAAATACAAATCCATGTTTGCTCTGAGGCACGCTGGGAACACGGGGAGGAGGACAGACAAGGGACTAGTGGGAGGCACAGAACTAATGGGCCATCAGGCAGCCCTCCTCAAAGAAGAACCTTCTCTTTAACTCAACGGTCTTTCTAGATGCCCTCACAGAGGGGCAAAGTAAAGCTTTCTCCATGATTCTAGAGCAGAACAGAGTTTTTGTAGCCTTCTACCTGTTTCCTTTCTGGTTGACAGAATTTCTACAGCAGCCTTAAGATGAAACCGCTAGCTACTTCTCCATACCACAGAGACAACAGGCACACACTTGGCTGGAAAAATCCATCTGGAGATCCCTATGGGCTCAGAAGGCTCTCTCTGGCCCATGGAAGTCACTTTTTTACCCACTCACTGTTCAGAAGATGATTTTCAAACTTTACAACTTGAAAAACTTCAAACATCCTCATAAATAGGGAGAATAGTATAATGTCCCATGGTTCATTATAGGGAAGCAAATGATATGACCAAGTTCAGTTTCATTTAACAGCCAAGAGATCTAAGTGAACTTTGGACAAGCCCCTTCTCTCCGAACTTCAGTTTCCCACTCAGCTCCACATCCATGCTTTGCTTTCAGAATCTATCTGGTGCTAGAAAGAAACTTAAAACCAGAGCGAGAGTAGCAATTGTTTACTGCTGGTGAATTAAGCTCTGTTCTACCTAATGTGTCTTTCTCCTGGGTGACACAGTAAGTCACTCAGGACCAGATGGAAGGTGATAAAAACACAGTCTCTGGAATGAGATTTCTCTGGCATGTTGAAGCCTTAAGGACTATCACAAGGCTACAGGGTTCTGTGACGTGTGAGCCACCAGGGTGATGCTGACAGTGCAGAAGCCTTATTATTCAGACTGAATGCAGAGAATGAATGGCCTGCCTAGACAGCCTGGGATGGTGAGGTGTCCAACACAATGATTTCCAGCACGCTGGAAAGCCTGCTCCCTCATCTTCTGTAAAAGTGGAGCAGTTTTTTAACACCTCTTGTCCTGTGTGATTGTAGCAGAGGAGGAATTATGTCTCTGGGATGAGTTTTGTTCCCTGGCTCATCACAATGGCCTCCATCTCAAGAGAGGAGGCCATTCCCACCACTCCTATAAGGTGAAGGCAGTTTGTCGGCTCTGTGAGTCTTCTCCTTGAGTTCCTTTCCCATTGCTTCTTCCAACTCTTCTAGTAGACACTATTCCTGGAAGAGGGGCTCAGAAGTTCTCTGCTATGCCCCCAATTCTTGCTTATCTCTACATGGAAAAGTGTAATTGAGAATGAAAAGCACGCACGTGCGCGTGTGCACATACACACACACACAAAGTAAAAAGTTGCAAATAATCCACAGCAATGTTAACAAAACTTATCACAAGTTGGTGGGAGAAGGGGGTGATTTTCATTTTCTTCTTTGTGCTTTTCTAAATTTTCTAAAGTTTTATTAATAATTTCTCTTTGTTTAAGGAAACTCAGTAATTGCTCTTTAAGGAATCAAATTGGTCCTTTCTTGTCATATATCGGACCAGGCCCCCACAGAATTATAGTTCCCCGTGGTCCAATGACTTTAGAAAACGAGACATAAAAACCTTCGTGCCAGCCCTGGCTCACTAACCTTTCCACTGGTGAGAGCTCTGTGCATCTCAGTCAGCCACACCCAAAATATGACTCAAGTGTCCTTCATGGATGCTCGGTGGTGGGGAGGATCATAAGGCAGATGCCTGATGGTTGGAAGTGGCTGACTGACTCAGCTCCTGTCTGGGCTGAAGTTGTCCTGTTCTCTGGCTCAGGGAACCAGGGTGATATGCTTCACGGCATTTCTTAGAGATTCACAAGTTTGTGTCTAGCTGGTAGGGGCCTTTTAGCTTTCATCAAAGGCTGGGCAGTTTCCTAGGAACTCAAGAGTCTCACGGCTTCTGCAGGAACTTGTTTCCAGCACGGTGAAGGTCATGTATGAGTTGACAGGCCCTTTTCCAGGCTCTGTCCTCAGGCCCTTTCTCAATCTTACCTAGGAACAGAGACCTCCCCCTGCCTCTTCCCACACTCCTCTAACTCATCACCACAATGGGCTCCACAGATGACAGGTCTGTCTTCCCAGACTGGAGTTGGGCGGAAGGCAGGAGGTTGTTGGTTAGTGGAGCCCTGCTGCAGCCATTGTCCTTCTCTGTCCAAGCCATCCGGAAGGAAGGGACCGGGGAGGGTGGCCGTTCCTCCTGAGGCTTGGGCGGCCTCTGGCACATGCTTAGTAATGCCTTCAGCTCGACCCTGAAGTTCTCATTAAGCCAGCAATAGATGAAGGGGTTGTAGCAGGTGCTGCTCATGGCAAACCAATGGAAGGCAAAGTAGAGGGCGTTGCTGGTGTGGATGACCTTGCTGGAGAGAAGGAGGACGTAGCAGTTGAGGGGAAACCAGCAGAGGGCAAAGAGGACCACGACCAACATCAGCATCTTGATGGTCTTCTTCTTCTTGCGCCGCAGGGCCAGGTACTGCTCCGTGGTCACGTCGCCAATTGTGTTGCACAACCACAGCTTTTTGGCCACACGCGCGTAGGCCACAGAGATAATGAGGAGGGGTAGGATGTAAAGCAGGATGAAGGTAGCCAAGTCCAGGTACTTCCAGAAGAGGTCAGCTGGCTCAGGGAAGTCTGGCAGGCATAGGGAGCGGACAACGTCCTCACTGGGGGCAAGTGAGAGAGACAGAGATACAGAGACAGAGAGAAGGAGGGTGTGCAATTAGTCTGGCAAAGCCTCACCTCAAGAAGCACTGGCCTCTCCCTCCACTGGGTTCATTGTCTGTGATAGCACTTTTGAAGCTGCAGCCTAATTATCTGATTACGTTGCTGTTTCTCCTACTAGGGTGGGATTCTATAAAGATAAGGAATATACCTGGATCTCTCTGTGTCCTCTTAAACTTGTATTATTCCTAGTCCATAATAGAGACCTAACAAATATCTGTTCAATGAATAAACACAACACTAGTGTTCTTGGGTCTTATAACTAACTCTTCCTGGGAGCACAATGTATTCAGGAAAACCTGGAGAGGGGAACCAAGGAATGGGACAAAGATATGATGGCTCCTGAGAATGTGAGTGGCAACGCCTGAACTCACATACTTTCAGCCGTTTATAACAGGTATTTATTTTCTATGCAATGTACCCAGTCCTCTTCAAGCTTTTTAGGGATATCCATGTGTGTTGGAACCCCTCGAGTTGGTGTGTTGACTTAAAAATATGCAGATTACGACCTGCTGAAATGAACAAAGACATAAGCCAACCCATACCTGGCTGGAAGGAGTATCTGGGCTTCCACTCCGGGCAAGTGAAAGCCCCAGGGGCCATTTTGAAGGTGCCAGTTCAAGACATTCACATAAAGGAAGCAGAGATTTATTACTTATAAATCCCCGATCAGGGTCACAGTGAGCCCGTGAAGGGCAGTGAGCGAGCAAGAGACAGAGGGCAGGGCGGCAAGCACCTATTATTTGTAAGGTGGTTGGGGCATCGGTCACAGACTTTTCGCGGGCTCAACTCTAAGGGATCATTTTAAAAGATGCCCCAGGAAAAGCAAGGCAGGAACTTGTAGCAGGAATTCTAAACCCAGGTCCTTATTTATCTAAATGTCCAGACTCAGTGTGAGTAGGGTTGTCAGACCGTAAAATGCACAGATAGAACTCAAAATGGCAGTTTTCCCATCGCCATGTGGCTTCTTGCTCTTTTTATATGTGCTGGTGGTCATCACTAGTAAAAGAGAGAACTCTCTGCTTTTGTCACAGAAAAAAAAAAAAAAAAGCCCTAAATGTGTGAAGGCAGATAGGGAGTCTGAGATCTGCTGGGTCTGTTATTATGATTCATTCCAATATCTTAGAAGTGGGGAGGGAGCCTTTAAAATGGGTTGAAATCAGCTGTCAGAGCTTGTTTTCTTGACAAGGAGTGTGTGTGTTTGTTTCGGATGGGGCAGCACATGGCTACCGCAGGACACACTAGCTGTACTGTACATCCCCTATGTCCTCTCTGACCCCCTTTCCAGATCTGGAGCACCAGGCCTCCAGTTTCTGCCTGCCCCAAAAGAAACAGCTGTACCATGACCTTATAGGACAACCCTGGGGCTGCTAAAGACAATTCCTAGGAGCCTGCCAAGAACCAGAAGTGGCTGAGAGGTTCCCTTTTCCCCAGGGAGCCTGGAATATGAAAGCCCAGCTCCCATCGCCTCAAGGCTTGCAAACTCTGTGTTATCAATTTGCTCCAGAGCGCCCCCACGTGGAGCACCCTGAAGCTTACCCCCAAATCACACCCTCTCTCGGCCTCTTCCATTTGCTGTCCTGCCTCACCACTCCCTTACCCATTACTCCTGGGAGTGCTTTCTTAAAAATCACTGGCACCTGTACCTTCTTTTGTCTCAGGGCCTGTTTCTAAAGAACTTCACTTAAAACAACTATGAACTGATGAAAACCTCATTCATTCAGTAAACTGAACTGTGGGCTTGTTATGTGGAGACAGTAATTCAGGTGCAAGGGACACCAAGGTAGCAAAATCAAAAATGGGGCCAGCTCTCTCCAACCTTACGGTGTGGTGGGGGAGATCATCTTTATGAACTACTGGCATGCACAAATGCTTAAATTTGAAAAAAAGAAAAACAAACAAAAACCTGAGTGCCTTGAAAGAAATTCTCATTCTGTGAGAGTCTAACAAAAAAATCTGAATGGGAGGTTGGGGGAGGTAGAGCATCCTACCTCAGACACATAGATACACGCATGCTCTGTTTGTAGGCTGTGTCAGAGAATTTAAAGAACACCGTTTTAAACAAGGCCTGGGTGATGGGAGACCACCTAGGAAGACCAGGTGCTGTAGGCGTAAAAAATTAAAAAATAAAAATAAAAGGTTGTAAGCTGACAAGGTCCTTGGAATCTGTGAAGGGTTGCCTCACCTAAAAAAAATAAAAAATTAAAAAAATTAAAAAATAAAAATTAAGTAAACAAGGCCTGGTGGATTTGGAATCTCAGTCTGTGAGAGTACATGCCCCCAGTGACATAAAGTAATCAATGCTGCCTAAATCTTGCAGACAAACTGGACAGAGAATAAGGAGGAAGCTAAAGCTGTTGAAAAGAAGAGAAAAAGCAGGAAAAAAAGCAGCAGATAGTCACAGACCTGAAAGCAACAGGATGGGGGAGAGGCAGAGAAAATGGTTCAGTGCGGCAGATACTGCTCACTGAGATTCAGAGAGGACTCACATTCCTCTGTCAAGGTCCTCTGAGTCCCCACGCTGCTCCCCACTAGTTAATCTCACCTGTACTTGAAGGTAAATAGTTTCTGGCAGATAGCATGTGGGAGTGAGAAGAATGTAGCCATGGTCCAGATGACTGCGATGCAGATGACACCTTTTGTGATGGAGATCCGGGGTTTTAACGGATGCATAATGACCTAGAAAACAAGCAAACTTGGCTTCTCTGGCTGAAGAAGTTTTGACGCAAATGAGAAATCCAGGCGATATAGCTCACACATCACAGTAAGACAGGTAGGTCTTATTTATAAAGTTAAGCACCCAGTAATCATCACTGAGCCCCTGAGATGCACCACCCCAAGACCACTCTCAGGGGTAGAAAGAAGGTGTCATCTGGACTCAGAGGCTCCAGGCAATTTAAATGCTTCTTGCAGGTCATACATTGCAGAACTAGGGTGCACTGAGAGGACAGCAAAGGGTGAAGGAGGAGGTCTGCTTTCCTGACACCCACAGTGCACAGCAAGTCTGGCAGAGGAACAAGCCATGGCCAGCCTCCACCTTCGGATCTGATCTCAGGTCCTCATGATTCTAGACCCCTTAGGTTACAAAAGGCTCTGAGAGGGTCTGAGGATGACAGACATGGAGAGGAGACTCTCAACACTTATCACAGGAAGCTGTGCTCACATTTATTTGGGGGTTCATAACACTGTTCATGAAAGCCGTTACTAAAATTGCAATGGGGCCCAGCTTTCCTGTGCTTATGATAAAGCCACTGTTATGGATTTTGGGCTGAAAAGCATCTTGTATGCCAATCAATTCTGTTCTAAAGGTCTAAATACAGACTGAGGAATCTGACAGCATCCTCATTTTAAGATCAGAATCATTATTTCTCGAAAAAGGCAGTTTGGGATAGGTGAGTCTAAGGTCAGGGGAGAGGTCATAAATTGCTGCCATGGCATTAAGACACCATTCTAAGACACTGGACATTCTGGCTGTGTCCTCCCAAGTTTAGCTCCCAATGTTTTCAAGGTTTTCCAGGAGGAATGAATAGGTTTTAGAGGCTGCCCAGCACACCCCCACTCTGGACTTTACCTTCTTTGCCCCTCAGATTCCTTCACTGTTCAGATTGCTGAGGGGAGTGGAAGCCTGGGTCAGAGGCCCCAGACACCACTTAAAGACTGCTGGCTTTGGGTATACGTCACAGCAACATGGTAAATGTGGGCAAGACTTCTACCCTGTTCTTCAGACCCACATTTGGCCCAAGAGTCAACTCACAGTTAGCTGTGTTGAGTGGGGGTAAGCATAGGCCAGGTCAAAGTAATCCAGAGTCCCTGTTGTTAAATTAGAGGAGAAGGTTAAGAAAAAGCAGGAAATATTTTCATATTTTATGCCAAAGCATCTGCAATATAACTGCCAAAATGATGGCATTTCAGAGACAAAGAGATCTCAACGTTTGTCAAGTCCAATTCCCTATAAGATGCACTGATCTCCTCTAAAACATCCCTATCAGACCTTGTGTATATAAGGCTGGTGACACGAAACTCATTACCTTTCCTGGCAGCTTTGTGCTTCTATTAGATGCTTCTATTAGAAAATTCTTCCTCATACTGAGCTGCATCTTTGAAGCCTCCTATCCCTTGGTCTTTGTTGCTCATCTTGGAGCTACTCAGAATAAATTTTATCTCTCTTTATCTCAGTGGCTATTATGATATTAGCCTCGTAGGCACCCTCGAGTCTTCTCAGAGCAAGGTGGACTAGTGATCAAAGCATGTGCTTGGAGCCAGAGAGATCTTTGTCCAAATTCTAGCTCCATCATTACCAGGCATGTGATCTTGGGAAAGCTATGTATATACTTTTCTGAGCTTCCATTCCTTGATTCTGCACAGAACCAAGTCTACAACACAGATTCACTGAGTTAACATGAATAAGGTGCCTGCCATGGAGATGTCACCCTCAGGTCCTCTTCAGTTCCTTTCACCATATCCTTCTGTGTGCATCTGATGGTGCAGGACAGTGAATGAGGCCTTTCTTCCCCGCCCCAGTGCCTGTTCCTGCTACCTAGATGCCTTGGCTTTTTTTCCTCCTCAACAGCGTGGGCCAGGGAATACCCATCTCCCAGTCAGGAGCCTTGTCTTCGGCCTGTAACTATTTGCCACTCTCTTTTTACCTGTAATTTTCCAGGTTTGCTTTTCTACCCCTAAAACAAGCTCATTAGTTTCTGAGACAGAAAATGCTATCAGTGAGTCTTCACTGGGAAGACAAACAGGGAATAATGTTTTATAGCACGTAGCACAAAGGGTTGAATATGCCTAACCTAAGCACTCATACAGGTTCAACAAGAAGACAAATACACGCATTGAAAAATGGGCTAAAACACTGTCTTGAGGGCCCTCGCAGCCCCTATGGAAAACAAAGCCAGAGAGGGAAAGACAGGGCTTTGGGAGTTGGTGCCCTCACCTGGTGGCGGTCCACAGCAATGGCTGTCAGCGTCAGTGCCGAGACATGCAGGGAGCAGTACTGGGCGAAGCGGCTGACGTGACACATGCCTTTCCCGAACACCCATGTGCTGTTCACAAAGCGGACCTGGAAACGAACCCACAGAGGTCACAAGACAGGCCTTGATCCTGACACCCCACCCCAACCCCCATTCTCTGAAGAGCCTCCCATAGAAGGCTTCTTCCAGCTCCTGCCTTCTTCCACTCTTCACTGCTGAATTGTGGGTCACACAGATTTTCTCTAGCATGACTCATTCTCAGTCATTCAATTCAACAAAACCTGATTATGCTCCTGGAGCGAGGCTCTGTTAGGTGCCAGGAGAGCAAGGGAAGGACATGGGCTTTGAAGTTGGACTTTCCACCTCTACTAGCTTCTAGCCATGTGACCTTGGGCAAGGTATGTAACTTCTCTGAACCTGTTTCCTCATTTGCAAAAAAAAAAAGGGGGGGTGTGCTTAAAAATCTCTACCTTGTAGGCTTATTGTAAGGATTGGGTGTTTAAATATCTCTAAAGGGTGGAACACAATGTCTGGCAGATTGCTAGAAAGATATTATTAGAAATAAATAGTAGCAATTTTTATAGTAATAACAAAATTAATTCTTGGCCCATATGAGTTCAGAATAATGGAAGAGACACATCTGAAAAGTCACAACATAGCATGTGGGCTGTGCTCACAAATGTTGGCTAAATGGCCTTGCAATACATAGTCTGAGAAGGAGACCCCGGAGCCTGAAGAGGTGTAGGTAGAGGCAGGGGTGAGAGATGCAGTAGGGGAGAGAAGAAGACAAGCTTCTGGGACACTGTAGCCTTTAGGAGCAAGCCTAGGCCTCATCCCACATCATCAGGGCTATTTGCTTACTCAGTCAGTGTTTGAACAGCTCCTGTGAGTAATGTCCCATATCCGAGAAAGTTGAAGCATTGATTCTGATCAAGGTGCTTCCAGTTTGGGAAGAAGGGGATCAGGTATCTCGGATGCAAGGCAGACAGTATTCAGTGCCCTTCGGAAAGCCTAGACAAATGGCACTGGGGCCATGAGGTGGGGTGGGAGTGGGCAGAGGCAGAGAGAGATGACAGAGGAAAAATAGAGCAAGTCAGCCCAACAGAAAGAATATTGTGTAATGGTTTACAGTAGAGTATTTGCCACTTGTAGCTGTCACACCTTGGGCAAGGCACTTAGGCCCTATAAGCCTTACTTTCCTCATCTGTAAAATGGAGCTAATCTATTTCACATGGATTTTATGAAAATCAAACAAGAGATACCACAATTAAAGTAAGTACAACAGCGCCTAGTCCATAGCAAGTACTTATCATGGCTAACTACCATAATTACAACATATGAGACATCCGAGATGAGCTTTAGAGAACAGGTAGGATTTGCACATGTGAAGATAAGAACAAAGTACTTGGCAGTGAGTCAGAAATCTCAGGACCTGTTTGGGGAATAAGGACTGGAATGGTTTGGCGAGAGTATCTGGAAGAGTCATGAGGGACAAATCTGGCCAGATCATGAAACTGGGACAGAAGACCATGGACTTCATTCTCTTTGAAATAGGCAGGGAGGAGCCACATGAGGCTTCTGAGTAATCCAGTAACATTACACAGCTGGCAGTCTTTAGCTACATCTACTTCTCACCTCTCATGCTCAGTGAATTACCAGAGCCAACCACTGGTACCTCTATATGGTTTTCAATATATTCCCTCTTCTTCAGTCTATGGCCCTAGTAGAGTCTCCCATCATCTCTCACCTGGACCATTATAGCCTCCCGAAAGCGTTCCTTTACTCTTGTCCCCTTGTAACTCACAATGCTGACAGTATTTTTCTTAACCATATTGTCAACTTCATGGTGAGAATCATCATGGCCCTGAGGACAGAGCCAGATGCCTTATGAGTATCCAGGCCCATTCACGACGTGGCCCCAGCCTTCCTTCCCAGACCACCTCTGCTTCCCCTCTGCCTTGCCGGCTCCTCCACTGTACTTCCTGCTGCCACTCTTGCTCCCTCAACACACCATGAACTTTGATGCCCCTATCTTTGTTCTTCCAGGTCCCTCTGCCTGCATTGAGCATTCATCTCTACCTGGAAAATCCCCATGCATCCCGGCCCCTTTGAAATGTTAGGTTCTTTGTTAGGTCATGGGACTCTGGCAGGTCAGAATGAATAACTCCCTCCTCCAGGATCTACCACATTCTGTGTATGTCTCTGCCATGGGAACTGCAAATAATTGTTCACTTTTCTCTCAATGACCAGAGCCAGATTTTATGCTGATGGAGTGTGTAAAGAGGACAGCAAGGGAAACCAGGGAGGAAGGATACTGTCACCAACCAGCCTGAAGGCAGGAGGTCTTATCCAGTGGAAGAGCCTGGCTGAGGCCTTAGAAGACCCTCCCGCCAACGCTTCCACTCTCCCTGGTTAAACTGGAGCAGTTACATGGGTAAGGTTGAAGGCCAAGCTGCTTTGGAGCAACCTGGAAGGGGTGCTGGGTTCTCAGAAGCTTGAAATCTCCTCTCTCACAGAAGAGCCTCCTTTCAGGGGAAGGGGCTGTCAGCTTTCAGTTGCAGCCTAGCCTGGGGCCCATGGCCTCCCTTCCCACACACCCTCATGTCTGTTGCAGGTCTATTCACGCACTGTGCTCTGGGCAGCAGCACAAGACCATGTGCTAGGACCCTCCAGTTCCCATCTTGGGTGGCTCAGGCCAACCCCAGCATTGTAGAATGGGGGAAGAGCCAGAGATGTACTCTCCTGTGCTTTATGCAGCAGGGGGAAGAGTGTGTATGTGGTGGGGGTAGGGAGGGGGAGTTTTTAGAAGACCCTTTGTCCTTGGCTAGTGCCCAGAGGATCTTGAGTGGCCAAGATTCCTTTAGAGATAGGATGGAAGGGGGACAGGAAAAGCCCATGGTTTGATGTAGTGGAAGCTTAACGTGGTCCAAGAGTGCCCCCTGTCCATGGTTGGGTGGCTTTGTAGACAGACCTCTGGATTTGAGTCAGGGAGAGTAATTCTCATCCTGGCTCTGCCAATTACTAGCTAAGTGACCTTGGACAGGGATTGAATATCTCTGTGCCTTAGTTTCCTCATCTGCAAAATGTGAATAATGTTCTCATAAGTGAGGACAAGAGAAATAATATAATTTTAAGATAAAACAAAAACAGACAGAGACAATGAGAGCGAGAGATGACTAGATACTGCTTTGGAAATGACTCAGAAAACAATAAAGTTATTCCACAAATTGAAAAAATGTAATTCGTGCTAAAAAACATAAACTCTAGCTGTCATGCTTGCTCAGTCATAGCTCTCACAGTCTCAAATCATCCATGAGCAGCACACTCCCAAATCATGGAGGGACAGAAACGACACCACTAATGCCAAGCGGCCAGGGCTTCAGGGGTAGGCTCACCAGCTACCCGTATGCAAATGCCCCCAGCTTGCCCTAGCAAGGAGCCCAAGCCCACCTCACCTTCACCTCTCCCCCAACAAAGATTTCATGCACAGCCTCACTGTCAAAACACAGAAGAGAAATGCAGTTTAAATGAGTAGTCTAGGAAAATGCACTTAAGCTTCCATTAACATTTAGCAATTGGTACTTCCAGCTGTGGCACAAGGCAGCATCCCATGGCAGGGGAGGGTATTTAATGGGCTGCACTTTGGTGTGTGGGGAAGATGACCTAACAATCTCTGCTGACATTTCAAGCAGCTTTGATTTACTGCCCAATTATCATACTCAGTGACATTAAATAGGAAATGGTCATTCATTCACGACTGCTTGCAGACATTTGAATCATTGATCTCAATGCCACCAGCTACAGAACAAAAAATGAGATAGGAAGAAAGAGCCATAGGGAAAGGTAAGGAGAGAGATAGAGACGGGCAAACCAAGAGGCACAGAAAAACGGTCACAGAGAGGAAAAAAGATGAAGATGCACAGAGAGAGACAGAGACAGACTTCCAAAAGAGACACACAGAGAGAGACCAACTGAATGACAGAGAGACGGAGACTGACAAAAAGACTAAGAGCCAGAAAAACAGAGGAGAGTGTTGAGAAATAAGAAATGAGAGGGCAAGAGAGAAAAGAAACTAAGATGAAGACAGGAAGACAGGCAGAAAAGGAGACACAGAGACAGAGAAATGAGGAGGAGAGAAATAGTGGTGGCGGGAAGACAGAGAGGACAGAGAGGAGGACAGAGAGGAGAGAGAATTGAGAGCTAAGAGCCCGAGAAGGAGCGGGGAGCCGGTCCAGAGCCCCCTCCTTACCAAAGTGAATGGGGTGTTGAGCAGCGTGATCATTAGGTCTGCGACGGCCAGGTTGACGATGAAGAGGCTGGTGGCCGAGTGCATTCGCTGGTTCTTGAAGATGACATGACAGACCAGGACGTTGCCAAAGATCGAGAAGATGATGATGAAGGAGTAAGCCACGATGAGCAAGGCTTTCACCGTCGGGTTCTGGGACTCGGCCCCGTAGCGCCGCCGGCCCACAAAGTTCTGCCAGTCCGAGAAGGTGTAGTTGTTCCAGAAGAAGTGCGAGCCGTTGGGTGTGTCCAGGGCGGCCGCCAGGCCCCGCTCGTCCTCCTGGCTCTCGGAGCGCTCCGCGGCTCGCACCAAGGGCAGGAGGACGAGCAGCACCCAGTGAGGGACCATAGTGCAGGAGCCACCGCGCCCGGGACCGTGCTGTCCGGACGTC